CTTTCCCACATTGTTGACATTCATAGGGTTTCTCCCCAGTATGAGTTTTTTCATGTCTATGAAGTTTAGAGGACCTAATGAAGGCTTTGCCACACTGCTTACATTCATAGGGCTTCTCCCCACTATGAGTCCGCTCATGTATCTGAAGGTAGGAAGAAGTACTGAAGGCTTTCCCACATTGTTGACATTCATAGGGCTTCTCTCCAGTATGAGTTTTTTCATGTGAGTGAAGGAGAGTGGACCGAGTGAAGGCTTTGCCACACTGCTTACATTCATAGGGCTTCTCTCCAGTATGCGTTCGTTCATGTATGTGAAGGTTGTAAGAAGAAGTGAAGACTTTTCCACATTGTTGGCATTCATTGGGCTTGTCTCCAGTATGGATTTGTCCATGTCTCTGAAGGAAAGACAAAGTACTGCATGCTTTCCCACATTGTTGGCATTCATAGGGTTTCTCTCTAGTATGAGTTTTTTCATGTCTGTGAAGTATAGAGGAGTTAGTGAAGGCTTTGCCACACTGCTTACATTCATAGGGCTTCTCTCCAGAATGCATCCATTCATGTCTGTGAAGGGAAAAAGAAGTAGTGAAGACTTTTCCACATTGTTGGCATTCATTGGGCTTCTCTCCAGCATGGATTTGTTCATGTATCTGAAGGTAAGATGAAGTAGCGTAGGCTTTTCCACATTGTTGACATTGATAGGGCTTCTCTCCAGTATGCGTTCCTTCATGTCTATGAAGAGAAGAAGAAGTAGTGAAGACTTTCCCACATTGTTGACATTCATAGGGCTTCTCCCCAGTATGAGATTTTTCATGTGAGTGAAGGTGAGTGGACCGAGTGAAGGCTTTGCCACACTGCGTACATTCATAGGGCTTCTCTCCAGTATGCCTACGTTCATGTCTCTGAAGGTAAGACAAACTAGGGCAGGCTTTCCCACATTGTTGACATTCATAGGGTTTCTTTTTCATATGAGTTTTTTTATGTTTGTGAAGGGTAGATGATTGAGCAAAAGCTTTGCCACACTGATTGCATTCATAGGGCTTCTCCCCACTATGAATTTGCACATGTATCTGAAGGTAGGAAGAAATACTGAAGGCTTTCCCACATTGTTGACATTCATAGGGCTTCTCCCCACTATGAGTCCGCTCATGTATCTGAAGGTAGGAAGAAGTACTGAAGGCTTTGCCACATTGTTGACATTCATAGGGCTTCTCACCAGTATGAGTTTTTTCATGTAAGTGAAGGTGAGTGGACCGAGTGAAGGCTTTGCCACACTGCTTACATTCATAGGGCTTCTCTCCAGTATGTATCCGTTCATGTGTGTGAAGGGAAGAAGAACAAGTGAAGACTTTTCCACATTGTTGGCATTCATTGGGCTTCTCTCCAGCATGGATTTGTTTATGTATCTGAAAGTAAGATGAAGTAGTGTAGGCTTTTCCACATTGTTGACATTTATAGGGCTTCTCTCCAGTATGTTTTCTCTGATGTATTCTAAATAAACTTTGGGAAGCAAAGTCTTTCCCACATAYGTTACATTTAAAAAGTACTTTCCCAGTGTGCGTGATCACGTGACTGTGAAGACTTCTGGGTGAATCCATGGTTTTACCACCTTCTTTACTTTCATGGGATTTCTCTCCAGAATGAGTTCTTTCATGTMTTCTAAATAAAGTGGGGGAATGAAAGGCTTTCCCACATACCTCACATTGAAAAGCTTTACCTCCCCTATGTGTTCTTGTGTGACTTTGAACATCT